CTCTGCCTCATGATGCAGGGGGAACAAGGCCTAGAACAGAAATTAATCTGGCGACTGCTGCTGATGCCTTATCTGGGCTTACCTAAAACAGAGGCTGGACAAAATTCAGAAAATAAAACGCAGTTCTGTTCATTGCAGGGCCTTCAGGTGCATTGAGGGCACTCCCAGCCCACACCCACAGTGGACAGTGGCTCACGGGTTTTTCACCCTTTCTCACTTTTGTCCATTTGCACATCGGGGCTGAATCCTCCAATTGCAGCTCAGCCAATGCAGTCATTGACTCCACGTTGGCTCCCCCAATTCTCTGTTGTTTCCATCTCTTGGGGCCTGGCACAGTGAGGTGTCCTTGAGTTTGGGGCTGCAGAGGAATTGTTTTGTGTGAAAATGGGAGAGCAGGAGCTCAGCGCTGTCTGTGGAGCCTGGAGTTAAACTCTAAAGAATTACAGGATCACAGGTATGTGAAAAATACAGAAGCTAAAATCCTAAGGCATCGGTGCTGTTAGCAGACAACAAAAGTATTTTTACAAATACCTTGGCATCCRGAAGAGGGCTGAGGAGAATCTTAATTCTTCATTGTGTGCGGAGGTAAGCACAGTCACACGGGATGAGGAAAAGGCTGAGGTGGTGCGGCCATGCTGCTGGGGTGGAATACGGGATGAAACCCCAGAATCCAAGGGGAAGGGGTCAGTACCCCGCTGTGTGAGTTGTGTTTGACCTGTGCCACCCACAGCTCCGTGGGGCCGGTGGAATCTACCCACAGAACGGGAGGAGCTGGGGGAAGGCCTCACAGAGCCATTTCCTCCCTTCCCCAGGAAACCCAGGCAGGCCCCAGGGGACTGGAAGGTGACAAAGATGACACCGATCCACAAAATGCCCAAAAGAAGGATCTGGGGAACTGCAGRCYGATGGCGTGAGGGACAGCAGGGGAAGGGCTGGGCCCTGCCCTCGGGTCACAACAACTCTGCAGCTCCAGGCTGGGCTGGGTGCTCGGGGAGCTGGGAAAGGCCCTGGGGGTGCTGGTGACAGCAGCTGGACACGAGCCCAGGGGTGYCCAGGTGGCCCAGAAGGCCAATGGCCCCTGGACTGTCCCAGCCATGGGGTGGCAGCAGGAGCAGGGCAGTGACCGTCCCTGTGCTGGCACTGCTGAGGCCACACCTCGAGGGCTGGGGACAGTTCTGGGCTCCTCACAAGAAAGACCAACAAGTCCAGGGAAGGGAACTGAGCTGGGGAAGGGTCTGGAGCCCCAAGAGCGGCTGAGGGAGCTGGGAAAGGGGCTCAGCCTGGAGCAAAGGAGGCTCAGAGGGGACCTTGTGGCTCTGCACAACTCCCTGACAGGAGGGGACAGCCGGGGGGATCGGGCTCTGCTCCCAGGGAACTGGGACAGGAGAGGGAACGGCCTCAGGCTGGGGTAGGGGTGATTTAGATTGGATATGAGGAAAAATTTCTTTGCTGAAAGCTGATCAGGGATTGGAACAGGCTGCCTGGGGAAGTGGTGGAGTCAGAAGTCACCAAGACCATGCTCATCTAATACCCATCACATGCCTTATGTTGTTTCTAATTTGYAAATTTTCATCAGCTGTGCTTGTGCAATGACAAAAGAACTGCTGCAAACCTGCCCTTGGCTTTGGCTGAAGCAGGGCACTGCAGATTTACAGAGGGAGAGACACCAGACAGACTYGGCTGCTCCATCTGCAACCCCTCACTCAGGAGTCTGGCACCTCTTGGATTGTCTTTTCTCTTTTTCTGGCCTTGGTATCCTCAGGTGGGTAATTACATGGCTGTCTTTCAGGATGGTTCATCTCCCTTTCAGAGAACTACACAGAAGAAAATACACAGTCAGGGATTACACATCCAAAATGTAAAATACCAAAATGCTTTCAGCACAGCAATGGCACATGCAACCCACAAATTTAATACAGAATTACAGCATGAAAGCTGATTATGAATAGTGTTACAAGCGCAGAGGGATGATCTGTAGAAGACATGGTTAAATTGTTCAGCAAGAAACATTTCCCTCTCAATGTACAAACTTAAGAAAAAATATGCACTGAAACTACATTATCTGTTTTATTCATTCTAATTATTGGATTTTTGCTAGAATATTCCACTGCAAGCAGCAATTTTCTGAGTGTGTACTTTGAGTGGTTTCAAAAAACCCTCAACAACAAGACATCTTTCATTAAAGAAACTAAATTTAAAGGTAATTTGGCAACTCCATGGTTGGAAGGATGCAGCWGAGGCAGGATGTTCTGCTCAAGTCCATCCTGAAAACGTGTGTCAACACCAWTTGGGAGGATCTACTCTCACAGAATGGTGTTTATTCAGCTTTTCTTTCTAGTRCCAGATGACTTCAGCCAGCACCAAGTAGAAGGGTGGGTTTGATCATAGCCAATGAGCAAACTAATTAATTCCTGGGGAAATTCTGGGCAGCATTTGAACACTCAGTTCTCAAAAACAAGRGAAATTTGCAAGCTTAGGTTTCTGTGGGATTTATTAAACTTTTTTTATATGTGGATTCAAACCAAATTTGTTACTTTTGCCATAACACAGAAGTCAGAACAAACTGAAGAAAACACTTTTTTAACCTATTCAATTACGTGAATGGGAATAATGATTTGGTGTTAGTTCTGCAGAACTTGGAAAAAAAATCTCTCATGGCCTGCAGTATATAAATGACATAAAATCAAAATMATGGAGCTAACTTATCAACCCACAAGCAAAACATGGAGCTAACTTATCAACCCACATGAACTGCTGTTTCCATTTATGTTAATAAACCAACACTGATTTAAACTAGCAAAGCACCAAGACTTTGTTTAAAACCAGTCATGTTTCATTCAGCAAAAATGTGAGAAGTGGGCTTTCATATCAAGAAAACAGAGAGCAAATTGTGTATACTGAATATAAACAGGCTGCTGAGAAGAAACTAAGAGTAGCAGAATAAACTGTACAGATTAATTTAAAAATGCTACATGTTCTTTTTTTTGTGGACGAAACGGTAACACTTCCATAGCAAGAGAAACTTCACTACTAGAAATGGATCTAAAAAAAGSCAGCACTCTGTTTCATTTTTCTAAAATTGTACATTCAAACCCCTGACTTTATGCAATTAATGCATGGACTTTCCCAATGATGCTTCATGTGCATCAGGTAACGAGACAAAGAGAGCTTACAATGCTTATTTTATCACACTTTCAACCTTCTTAACACTGGGATGTGCATTTTTGCAAATACTCTGAGGACCACCGAAGGAAAAACCAAGTAACAGTGCAATTACTTATTACAGTAACGCCAATTACATTAAAAATATTCTCCTTTTCTCTTCAGACATAGGTTTGTTGAGTTTCTGGTTTTTMGCTTTAATAACTGATTTCAGTACCTGCCTTGCATGTGTGTAACTCTTATCCCACAGCAACATCCCAAGCCCACCACTATTAGTAAAATCATGAACAGCAATAATACATTTGCTACCTTATATGTTATTTATTTTATACATATATATGTTGTTTGTTTGGTTTTTTTTTATTGGTCTGTCTGGGAATTCTTTCTAAGCTTGCTGTTCTGCCAGGTACTGTTTTTCACCTCTTGTAGAATGGCACAGCTATTCAGAATCCCATTGCTGGTCACAACACACAAAACTCAACTTCCTGCACTTTTCCAAGAATCTGCAGAACATCCAGCACTTGCTTGCAATGGCTGCAAGTGTAAGGATGGAATAATCCCTGAGTACAGGCCTTTCAATGTGTTACTGTCAAAGCAGATAAAAGAGATGATACTTGAGGAAAAATAAATTAAGATCCTTCTCACAGGGTGAACTCTACTGCAAGGCATGAATATACACAAATATTCAAACCAAGGCAAGTGAAAACTTCCAAAACTCAAGAGAATTCTTGATGGGATACAAAACTAAACTGAAGGAGGTACTCAGACTGAGTGGTTCAATTCATTATTCACAACAAAGCTACAGCAGCAGCTAATTTTTAGTTTGACCTTCATCAAATACAGGCTGTTTGCATGGACTTGACAAAATAGATTAAAACAAGTTTGACAGTTTTGGTGTGTAATTTCCAGTAACAGACTTTTTAAAGAAACAAATATATTTAAAAAATCAGATTCACTCCTGTCATGGAGCATCCTTTAACAGGAAGGATGTTTTTGTGGTCAGCACCAAAAAAAAAGCTCGGGCATAACGAAGAATTCCATGTAACTTTGTATTAAAAAAACCCAGTATAACTTTGGAAAACAAATTTAACCTGTTTTCTCCTCTACTACACGAGGGAACTTYCCAACTTTACAGAGAAGCCCACCGCTGCATTTGCTCACATGTAAAAGGCAAAGATTGCTGGAAATCACTTTCTCAACATGAGATATTTTTTCCTGTAACCTTGATGCTACATCTCCTTTAACTCCAGTACATGAAAAACCCTGGTGTTASCTCAGAAGCAGCTGTTGAGTTTTTTTGGACCTGTTACTCCTCTGCAGCACTTTATAGCCCCAATTTAATTGACAGGTCACAGTCTGGCCTCTTTACAGAATCAACTGTCTGGAGCATCTAAAGCTTTGGCAGAATTCAGCACAATGAGATGATAAACCAAACCAATTGGCCCCTTTTCCTTTTAGGAACTCCAGCTCCATTCACTGTTATTTTTATAGGAATAGCTTTTCCTGAATTATGTAACTATCAATGGAACAGAGGTACAAAGGCAAAGCCAAATGGCTCCAAGATTCAGGATGTCAAAATGTGAGTCCTTGATAGGTTACAGACAGACTTAACTATTGGAAGTTACATCAGAAAATTAATGAACTTCAAAGCTATTTTTCTCTGATTTTCAGGTCTGTTAACAACTTTTGATGGGATACAGAATGTTCTAATTTACTTCTTGTTCCCATGTCTGCTAAAAGTAGAAAATTAAGAAAAGCATTTTTAAAACGGTTTTTAAAATTYGGTCAAAATTATTAAATTTAACAGTAGACAGAGAGTACTATTTCAGAGTGAACAGTATTCAGTGACAGTGTCTTACTTTTGTCTGCAAAGTTTATTTCCCATTATACTATCATGAAAAAAGATACTTTTACAAGTATCTTTAGGAATTGTTACAAAAATTCTCATTTTCACAGGTTTATACTYACAGAACTCCTTCAGAAATCTTCCATTTGGGAAACACTGACTAAAATCATCCCTACAGAGGGTGATCATCCCGTGTGAGGGTGACCATAAAAGCAACTTTTCAACTTCATTACATTTCAAAACCTTCCTTCAGACACTTAGGGCAAATCCTGGGGTAGTTGTGCGAGTTATCATTCTCATTTCAACAGAAACCTGTGAGCAATTTATATCCATGKTTTTTCTAACACAGCCACACTGTTCTGAGCAGTGCTGTGATGAAAAACTGAGGCCAGGCACAGAGCAGTAACTTCTCAACAAACGGAGCAGCAAGTGCAGAGTTAATGGGCTTTTCCCAGAATTTTACATCATCCATGTAATGACCTCACAGATCTTCTTAATTTAAAAATGGCAGTGTAAAACTGATACATACAGTAGCTTTTTTGACCTTTTCTGACACTCATATTGGAGCAAATGTAGCTTCTGCAGCTGCACCTACAGTGATGTCACAGTTGAGAATTGTCTTTGTGCAACAAAAGTTAGATGTCCAAAATGTCTCTGCTGTTCTAACATGATCTCAACATACATTTAACTCAGGGTGGTGGTGTCTCACCTGTTGAGCTTCCTCTCCCATTACTGCCCACAACACAATCCTGGAGGTGGTGAAAATCTCAATTATGACCATAATTCAGTTCAGAATTCATCTATGTAACTCAGACCGTGACAAAGGCCTCCAGATAGGAAGCAATTTCAGATTTTTCAGCCTCCCAGATCATACTCCAGACATTTTTCCTTCCCTTGGCCTCTCRGGGAAGAGGCTGAGCTCATGGTGTTCATGTCAGGATGTTATTTTTCAACACATAGGCAATTAATGCCCCCCAAAGAGAGAATGAATTGTCAGTTTTAAGCAAAGCTACACCATTTTAATCCTTATGGAATCTGTCAAAAATAAATCACAAGACCTTCACTGAGCCAGAGGAAAACCATTTCATTTGACCACATAGTCTTCCTCAACTCTTTCTCACCCTCCTCAGGAAAGGGAGAAAGAAAATGGTCATTCCTCTTCCGTTTTTATTTTAAGTGATGACAGGGCTCTAAACCTACTGATGACTTCATGTCCTCTTCTTTTGCACCACAGAGGATGCTGCAAGCAGGGGATAAAAGCACAACATTCAACATACAATGAATTACGATATGAATGAATGAATTCTGTTTGACACAGAAAGAAGCTGCCCCAATGAGAGACCTCAAGACTGAAGGATGTGACCCATCTGCAACCTGAATTCTCACCCTGTAAATACAATTTCAAAAAGAAATGTTCATCATCTGTAATAAAAACCAAGCCTTTAAATAGATGCAGTTCTCTAGGGAAAACATTTATTCAACTGCTTTACAGAGTAAGCCAATTAAGGCCAAATATATTACTTGGAAATAGACAGGCTTTCACTGGATACAAACATGAGCTGGCTTAACAGTATATTGTATACAAAAATGTTCTTTGAAAGCATCTAAGAAAGGTAAAGGCGGAGCGATATAAGCTGAAAAACTGCTTCTTTAAGGCAAACAAAAAGTATTTGTTTATTCTTTGTTTCTTAAAAAAGTATTATTACCAAAATATTTTCTTCACAATTACTTCCGTTTTTCTGAGTAAAGACTTGAGATTGTGTGAGTGTGGAGAGAGGATATTTATAGCCATGAAGAAAATCAGACACCACTGAAAACTTACATAGAAACAGTGAGCTCATGACATCAAGAAAGTATTTAAGACTTAGAAGCATTTAGAAAACSCAGAATAGCAAAGCAAGTGATAACATACATCACTGTTTTCCATAATCAAATTACTGACAACTGTAACTACATAGAAAAAAATCACATAATTACATGTAAAAGATGAAGTTTGGAAGCACTGGAGTAAATCATGTTATTAAAACTGCTGAGATGATTTCATGTGGCGAGTGCCGCACCTGATCTAAAACCCACTGAAGCAACTTTAAATTTTGTCTCTGGTTCTTCAACTGGCCACARATTTCATTACTTGTCACATAAAAAGCAGAAAGATGTAGCATAGAAAATGAGAATTCAGAATTATTTAGTAATGACTTCAGCTAACAGGGCATGGATTTGTGCTCTTCTTCAGCAGCTCACTGTATGTGCTGTAGAGACTACTTGGCATCTCTCCTGAGAACTATATACAGACACCAAACCAATGAGGTGTTAAGTATCCCCTTAACACATGCCCCAGAAAAACACATGTAATACAGAAGGTAGTCTCTCTGGATTGAAATGCATATATAACACACGTTATGCTGTCAACATTTATATTACTAATATAATAGAAATAGCTAAACAAATATCCCCTTTAGAAAGAATACTAACTATCTGAGCAAATGCCTGGTAAGGTGTCACATCACAGCACATTCCAGTTAAAAAACTGTAACGCTGCCTGTGCCACKTATAAATACACATTTGCTCTTGTGAATCACACCAGAAATCATAGAATAGGTAAAAACTGCAATTGCTCACTTCCACTCCTGGAAATCACCTTCACTTCTCAAGGAGAAACGGCTTAGAGTTAAGATTACAAATCTGTGCTGCTGAGAATCAGAACGCAGGGCCTTCCCTTGAATCCTAGAACCAAACCCAACGTTCCTTGGAGTGACGGTGTCACCCCTGTCAGACGGTCCTGGGGGGCAGCTGCTGTTTGTACATCCCTGCCAGGGCCTTGGCTGCGCTGTAGATCATCTGCCGGCGGGACATGCCAGTGAACACCGCGTGCCAGTCCGTCCTGTTCACGTTCAGCACATTCTTCTCCAGCACCTCGCCCACGGTCACCAGCAGGCCTGACCACCTCAGGTTGTAGTCCTGAGGGGTCAGACTCTTGGCCTGCAAGTAGAAGTTTGAGATGTAAGTACTGAAACAATTTGGAATTAATAAATTTGCTTCTACCTTCAGCATTAACCGACTTTTGCAAGTAATCATTCTTGTATCAACAGACCTGTATGACAAATTTCAGCCTGCCCCATAATTTGCCAAGACAATCTTTAGGATTTCTAGGTATCATGGTCCAAGCTACATCTGAAGAGTATAAATTAACAGGATACTTAAAAAGTGAAGACATATTGCCATTATCAAGAAGCAGTTTTCTTTTTCAAAACAGCCAACAGATGGAATCAACAGCAACATATATTTAGACAGCATCWGTTTATCCCCAGCCTGGATCTAGCCCGGGGGAACCAGCACCTGGCCTTGTTAAACCTCATGAGATTCCCATGGGCCACTTCTGGAGCGTGTCCAGGTCCCTCTGCATGGCCCTGTCCTTCAGGGGTGTCACTGCACCCGTAGCTTGGTGTCATCTGCAAATGTGCTGAGGGTGCCTCGATCCTTCTGTMTGTCATTAATGAAGACATGAAATCACACTGGTCCAAATATGGACCCCCTGGGTCACTGATGTCCAGTGAGCTGTTGACCATGACCATCCAACCAATTCCTRTATCAACTGAACAGTCCACCCATAGAATCCATCTCCAGTTTAGACTGGGAGACCACGTCCAAGACTTTACAGAAGTCCAGATAAATTACATCGGTAGCCCTTCCCTTGCAACTGGCATGGGGAAACTATCACTGCATTTCTCTGGTCTGATGCTCATTCTGGGCAAACACCTTCCTCATGTTTTCTAACAAACAAGATTCTAATTTGTGTTAGTCTGTGTACTGCAGATCAAGTTCATCAGTGTGTTCCAGCCTTTCTAAAATTCATCTCTTGCAACAACAACAGCATATATAAGTTTTTCAGAATATGCAGAATAGTTTGGGTTGGCAAAAGATTTTTTTTCCTGTYTCTCTCCACTGTTTTTGGAAAGCATTTTGTAAAACTAGAGAGACAGAGCCGYATTTTATCCTTTGCCACTCTTTAGCTTTTCAAAGCTATTAGAATTCAGGAAACTAAGAATTGAAACCCATCCCACAAATGTTCACTTTATTCAAATTGGTGCTACTGAAAAAGAAAACCAAGCTACTATTTTTCTTCCAAAACAACATCTGAGGATCAAACCCCATTTTTGGTTTTAAATAATTTATGGAAAGATTTATTTATGAAGAATTTTCAGACCAAAGTTAACTAATGCATGAGTCATACCTGCTGTCARGCAACATGTAGCAACTGGAGTAATTCCCAGTCTGTGCCCAAAGAAACATGAATATTTCAGATGATATTTATTCATGTGATATTTCAGAACTGCACACTAGTGCACTTCATCCTATTATTTCCAGTCTGATGAACCATGCTGTTACCAAGATTTAAATCTTTTGAGTTCAGAATTTTATACCTTTGTCAGAAYAGCATACTTGAAATCAGCCTTATCTTTTAGGTGGAACTCTGTATGTTCATAGTGGACTGAAGACCAAGCACTGATCTGGAAAATGGGAATCTTTTTTTCAGGAATAAGTTTTGTTTTTTGAAATGGGTTTCCAGTGAGAACAGCATGCTGCCTGCTTGGTTAGTACTTCTTGAGTCAAATATGCCTCAAAGAGACAGATATCACAAAATGAGATCCYTGACCAAGAAATGCTTTGCTAAAAATACCTGAAGATTTTTAGGTAATACAAAATCATGATGCAGAAATAGTTTTCATCCTCATTTCATGAATGAAAACGTTTAAGTGYAGTAACTTTCAGTAAGAACTGACATAAATAAAATTAAAACTTCAGTCTTATGTCTCAGCTGTTAATTGGTAAGAAAATAAAAAACTCACCTGCTGAACATATTGCAAAGGCACTGGTGTTGCTTGGGTAAATGCTTCCAGGTGAATTCCATGAATTGGATCCTCAATAATCAGACATCCAATGTCAAACCACCTGCAATGATGTGCAAACTGTTTTATTTCTCAGCAGTGAGTATCAATGAATTGAAAAATAACACAAAGTTGAATTATGACCATTTAACAAATTCTATTAAAAATATAGTGATAATATAATAATGAGACTCTGGTATCAAAGCATTGTGGTATTCTTCAAGTGAAATCTGCACGTGTCAGTTTTCATATATCTTTGGATCTCATAATACTGCATTTGTATGCATGCAAAATATGTAAAATACATAGAAATACAAATTACATGAATATTAAAAATCAAAGAAACAAAGAAAGCCGGTGAGGTGGGTGTGTGGGCAGACATAATCCTTTGGCCATGGTTATGCCACACTTTTCATTCAACCATTCAAAGAGCATTTCTCATTAAAATAATATTTTTTAGGAAAATAATCTATTTATCATCATGCTCAACAGTCAGAGGATTTTCTGGCAAGCCTAATGCTGTAAAAATAATTTAAATTATTTATTCAGAGAAACATTTCTGCCTGTCTGGGCCACAWAAGCTTCATAGTAAAGGGAACAGTGGAGCCAGACAAGAAGAAATACTTGTATCACTTTTGTAGAAAGGAACAGAGCACTAGAATGCTCTCACTTGCAGATATTAAAGACTGCTGAGAAAGCTTTATGGGTAAATGTAACTTGCTTCCAATTAAYAAAGAAGTTACTGGTATTTTTCTAGTCTTCTAATGTTTGCATTTTTGTGCATGTGATGCGTTTTATTTATTTTTCTGACCTATACTCTACTTTTACCCTATTTTTAAAGGTACATTCAGTATTTTTAGTGCAATATGGATGAGGAATTTTCTAAAGTAAATAGAAGTAGGAAGAGTTTATTTTTGTTTAGTATTTATTTCCACCTAATCTGATTTACATGTTTTATTGTCTTTTCACAGAGGAGTAACTTTGACATGTTACTGGTACTGGTGAGTGGTTACTTGAAACTCCTCTCCGCTAGACATGCACAATAGAAAACTAWGTCTGTATGATGAAAAACACAACATTGTGTTTAATGTTTTGGAAATTAATTATAAAGTAACTTCAAGAACTGCCAATTTAACAGTATGCTACAAAATCAAGTTACAATGTATTTTGAAATACCATGTTTATGTTTGGGCAGCACAAGTTTTAAGCATTAGGTACATTCTCAGTGGAAAGAAAACAGAAAAACATTTTGGATAAAATCATATTATTCTAAATGCCAGAATATCTCCCAATGTCTCGTGATACAATTTCAGAGAGAGAGAAGGGAGGATGCACACAACAGTGCATAAACTATTAGCCAAATTCCAAATTATATAGCTCCTTAATTCTTTCAGTTCACTTCACTGTGTTTTTATACTGTGAATCTAGAAAAACCTCACAAGGTTTTGGTTTTTTTTTTTTTTTTTTTTTTTTTTTTTTTATGTTCAAGTCTCAAGATGCCTGGACAAAAAGCTGATCATCGTTACCAAAACCAAGCTTGCCCAAATACTACAGACAAACCCTGCCCCCTCCTCTGCTTAAACTGTCACCAGCTCCTTAAAGGCTTCGAGTGAACAAGGAATATTCCCAACATGTCCCCATGCCCCTGGAATAAACTCAAGGCTCTCACTTGTCAGGAAGCAGTTCCTCAATGAAGCTTTCCACTGATACAGCAGGCTGCTTCTCATGGATGACTCCTGTCCGGCGCAGGCTGTCTATCCTCTCCTGGGCTCCCTGAGTGGCACCACAGGCTGTTAGACAGAATTCTGAAYCACAGCTTAGTACTGTGCTTGCAGATTAATCCCAAAAGAACTCCAGAATGTACTTTTCAAAATGACTCAATAGGAAAAAACCCAACAACTCAACTCAGGAGAGGCCAGGGATCCCAAACAGTAACCATATCTACRATAAAGCTGAATAAATAATTTTAGGTTTTTCATTTTTCAAGGAAAATATCCAGGGTAGCATGCAAAGAATTCCTAACTCTTAACTGTGACAAGTTTCACTGAGATTTAAAGCAGCAGTATATATTTGTATTACTTTGGCTTTTTTACTACTTAAGACTTCTTTGTTTCAGAATCTTTAAAAGCTTTGGACCAACTTTGTAAGAGCAASGGGATGAATCCATTTGTTGTGGTACCTATCCAGCTAACACGAATACTAATTAATCCCTTGAATACTGCTATCACTCTGAAGGTGTAACAGAAACAAACAGTACACTGCAACAGCTAAACAAGTAAWGGAACATGCACATTATTTCCTTTATCTCAATATAAAATTCCAGATAATCAGATAATAYGCTGCTATGAGGACAGGCTTTACCCCTCTGTAAACACTGGCACAATAGCTAGGGGGAAAGACTTCTCTTTTCATGAATTTTTGTTTCCATCTAGTAAACAGAATATAAAATAGCTGTTTTCAGGATTTTCAGTTACTGGTCAGAACTGGTGAAACAACCTTTGCTAAGGCTTTCTCTGGGGCAGCACAGCAGTTTGCAAGGCTGCACAGGAAATTCTCATTTTTCAAAGAGAACACAGATCGGTTCAGGAAGACMGGAAGATCAAACTATCTCTGATCTACCGAATCAGTGGGGAGAAAAATCAATCTTGAAGACTCTGTTTTAATTTGTAACACTCCTAACATGATGTCCTAGTAATGAACTAMTGAAAAATGCCTAACATACTTTGAAACCACAGTAACACCACAGTGTATGTAAGACGTGATGGCAATCAAAGACAGCATAAGAAAATTGACATACATGACATAATACACTGACATAAATACTCTTCACCTGCTGTGAATGTGTTTGCAAAAAACTTCAAAAATATTTCAGATAGCTTTAAACTGATCTAATGATCCAGACTGAGAAAAAAAACAAACAAACCAAACCCAACCCTTAACCCCCAAAATAAAAACCAAACAAAAAAAATCACCAAAAACCCCCCAATGAAAATGTTTACCTATCCCAGAAATGGACTTTCACTTTACAGAAATCTTTCCAGGTGATTCTCTCTTTGGTATTGTTATGTATCAACTTACTTTTAAACCTGCAGCATAGCCCACAGGCTGGGGTGCAATGTTGGACTGTGCAGCCTCTCCAGTCACAACAGCCATACCAAAGACTTCTTGAAAGGCATCCCGAATTGCTGCAACTTTCACCTCTTTATTAGAAGTAACCACTATGTCCAGTTCTCCCCCAGTTCCTGCAAAACAATTTTGTAAAATAATCTGTAAAAAATACATCCACGAATGCCATTTTCCTCCTTTCCATTATCAGAGAGTTCAAACAYATTCTACATCCCAACAGTGTTCTCAAGCTGCTCTTCTCAGGCACCGTGCAACAGTTTCTCCACAAAACAGATGTCACTTAAGTTGGGAACTGAAAGTTAGACGAGTAACTAAGGGATACTTGGATAAAAGACAGGCAGCAAAAACAGACCTATGTTCAGGTTCAGCACCTGAAAAAAAAAAGCATACTGCTTATTTAAGATGACAGTTCATMTAGATTTAGGAAAACAACTCAAGACATCTACTTATTCCAGGATGACTTGGTGTTCTGGGAAACAGGAAAGAATGTTAGAATGACACAAATTCTTCCTTATGAAGGGGATCAAGAACTCTGATTCAGGTCATAAAATCCAGGAAGTATTGTCAAACTACACAAGATTTAAAAGAAAGGCTCTCACTACTTCACAGCTGAACTTGGAATGTGAACTTCAGTGCAATTTTATTGCTCTTTTTATATATTAAATAGCCATGAAACCAAAAACTTGTACACAGTTCTGAACATTTCCCATAGGGTGGTATGTCCATAAAAGAAATTTCACTAAGCTTTCACAGAATGAAACAAAACAATTCATGAAGTAAAAGAAATCTAAAGCTACTATAAAACCATACCTCACTTCTGTCTATCACAGCTGGATCACTTTCACTGTGCAGAAACACATCATAAAACTCATCCCTGCTGTGAGAAGCTTTCTCAAGGACAGCTGAATCTCCTCTCAATTGTGGAATGCGACATCAGAGAAAGCTGCCTAAGTAAACTGCATCAACCACACRAGCTTAAAGAGCTTGCAGTATTTACCCTGATTCAAGAGAAGTTCCCCCACTGATAACAGTAAGCCCAAAGCTTAAATTTTAAAGAAAAGAAGTTTACTTTTTGGCTTATATTACTCAGCAGATGTCAGGAATCATCTTATTTTTATGACTAATTACCAGATAGGCCAGAACAGTGGCAAAACACACTATTTTGGGGTTTTAGGGTGATTTTTTTTGCAGTTTTATTTATCAATTGCTTTGCTGAAGGAAATTAGGTGCACAGATCCCTGAACTTAGAGCAATTATTTTAAATGCGGAACAACCACTGGACCAAAAAGAATTGAGAGTATCTTTTTTTGTTGACTCCTTGATATAACTCAATTTAACATAATTAAACAAGTGCTCAACTGAAGTTAGCCTTGTCTGAGTGCTCAGSAATAAAAATGCTGTTAAAGAGCTTTTAATTAAACTCACAAGGAATCCATAACATTTCTAGTAAATTACTGTATAACAACTTTAAGAATGGCAACTGTACCCATGTTTGGTTGCAGAATACAGAATATATTCTTTTGTATTAAGGATCATCAAATATCAAAAAAACATCTTTGTTCATCAGAGGCACTACAAAACTGTAAGATATTACATGGATAAAAAAGAAACCTTTTGTGACAAGATCTGGTAATATGGAAACCTAAAATGTAAGAACTAGATGCGCCCAGGTAAATTCAGGGGTAGAGCTCTTACAAGTTAAGCTCTGACACCTGAACGTGAAATTTCATTGTACCTTGTGTATTATAAACTGAAATGTCAGCTCCATATTCCATTTGAGATTCACTGTTGCCTTTTGTTACAAAAGCACTATTTTTATGCGTTTGAGGTGACCACTTCCTGTGCAGACAGGAATTGTCTATTCCAGGAGCAAAGCGCAGATGGTATCTTCACAATGTGCCAATGAAAACAGTTCAGCTCTTTTCAAGAAAGAGATTACAGAAATACCATTTTGCACAGATGACAAAAAAAATTTCAACCACCTCATCCAGAARCTTTAGTAGTTTCAGGTTTGGCATGAAGAATCTGAAATTCCTTTGGCATTGCAGTAATGGAGGGAAAGCAGAGAGAAGTGGGGCCACTTGTTGAGGACAAAGCTTTTGCAGAWCCCAGAATACATTTTTAGAAGGAAGTACGTGCTAAGTTTACGAACCTCTGCCCCATTTTCCCAACCTGCCACTACAAAAACAATACAGTATTTAAATAAATGGCCAAAATGTATACAGATGCTTCCCTTGCCAACAGGACTTTTAACAGAACTTGGAGGTAACTGTTGACTTAGCTTACTGAACCTAAATCGTACAAGCAAAGCATTTTACTAGAATTACTTCCTCCTCTAGATAAAATTGTACTGTCTACAAATACTGGGTCAAACTATCCAGGATACAAGAACTACCTGTTTTTTTAAAAAGGGACAATCGCGACTGCAATAGAAACCATAAATACACTTGGCCAAATTGTGCATGATCAACATTTAATGCAGCTATGCACTGCATCCTGCTATTCTCCTCAAATACCTTTACAAGGCATTGCTGGCTGGCACTGCTGGCTGGCCTCGCTGTTTTTTTTCCCCACCCTCTCCTCACTAGACAGCTGCTGGGATATTTTCCCTTAAATGTAAAACAATTAACTACTATTCAATTAGATCATCTTCCCCTGTCCTCTGAATTAGTACAAAAGTGCAGCAATGTAGTTAGCTAGGTCACAGAATAGGCCCAGCTAAAAAAAAAAAAAAAAAAACCCTCAGAAAATAAAAATGATTAAAAAAAAAAGAAATTATTTCTTCTCAGTCTTAGCTGTTTCCTGATCAGCTTTTTTTATAGGCAGAACGAAGTCAGTACTGGCACACCTAGGAGAGAGTACTGCTTATCAGACTGCTAGAAAGATAAAAACCATGCCAAAAAAACCAAAACCAAACCTCCACTCTGGACAAATGGTGCCTTTTGCTCCCTCATTGTAATCTCATGTCAGTTATGTGTGACATGCAGTGTYGTCCCATAAAATAAAAAATGGTGAATAACACAAAGCTCTTCTATTAATTCTCAAGATGTAACTGAAATGCTTTCACACTCCAACTGTTAGAAGTAATGTGCTACTGCMTTAGCTTCTCTACCATTTACAAGCAGTGCTTCATGATCTGTCATAAACACTTACTGATATATGGAACCATGCCAGGATCCAGCGTCGTGATCATGGTCTCCACTGAATGCTTGGTTTTATCAAGAACAGACTTCACCATGGGATTCTCAGCTACACCCTAAATTTAAGCAAATACATTTCCATATTATCTTCTGGGGGTTTCTATCATCAAGAAATTCAAAATTTAAAAAAAAGTCAAGAAAAYGAGTATTAAGCTGCTCTGTAACATCTGCTGCGCATTACTCAGCACAAACGCTGCAGGATATGACTATCTGCACAGCTTTTCAGTTACAACCTCAAGTTTAATATGACCTTCCTCACTAATGCAGAAACAGCCCCATCATCTAGCAAAGGCAGGCAGAGCTTCTCCAATTAACAGCCTGGCTGCCTAACTAACAAAATCATTATGCAGATGGTTCCTGAACATCAAGGCCACTTCTACCTACGGAAGATGTCTGTACATGTTTATCTCTCCACAAGTAGGGTGAAATAATCCATATTTTTATATCAATCCAAAACATGAAGTTATTACAACTATTATGTAGAATTTGGAACTGAAATAGGATGGCTCAGGTGYCTCTGAAAGATCAAAGAAACTGAAACAATCTCATTCAATTCCAGATCATTAATCTGTCAATTCTGGATTGTCACAGTTTTGAATATTACTGAGTTTAAAGGGAATCTGAAAGAAAGGTGTATGATTTCTTAAGATCAGAGGAAAAAGGGTGTATCAAATTACTTCAAGAACAGAAACAAAGATATAAAGATAACAAAGATAATTAAAGATAAAGAGAGATAATATAGATAAATGCGGCAAGTAGTGTGAAAGCTCTTCAACAGGAAATTAAGTATGCATTTCTGTAAAAATTATCACTGCATGTCTCAGATTCTGCCTCATCTTTAAAGATTCTGCCTCATCTTTAAAAACACAGACTCTGATGTGTGCTTACATACATCAAGAACTTGATGACTTCAGTATAATTAATGATTCCTCATTCTTTCACTTATGATATTCTTAGTAAGAGATCACTGGATACACAAAGCACRTGGAATGCTTGAAACCTCAACTAAAATTTGGACTTTACTTCTGAAGTCAGTTATACAGGCTTTCTCCAGAAACAGAAATAGRTTATCTTTGGGATCCTAGCAGAAATGCTAAAATGTGGATGAGATTAGCTTTTCAATTAATTTGCAATTGAAAGCTCTGGTGCTCTAAAAGGGCCTACAGAGTCACCTAACAAGTAAAATGATCTCTTCTAGAACACTGCCACCTACTGCAAACACTAAGACCCATCTAACAACGGAAAGGAAAACATTACTTAAGAAGGAAGATGTGTTTTTATGATCACAAGAAGACATTTCTCCTTATTAATGGCAGTATGACAACTCTGCTCTCATTGAACTGATGGAGCATTAATCTTGCTCTTTAGGACTGTTTCACTGTCAATACATGCATTCCTGCAGTGAGGCGGAGCTCAGTCTGCCATGTCACACACTGCTTTTCCTCCCAGATTTTCATACTTAAAAGGGATTTTCAATCCCTTGTGATTGTTTAACCAGAAAACAGTAGGAAGAATAGAAGAATTCCAGTGCTCATGTACAACCCTTAGCTCTTCTTGCCACAATCTTCACAATGCTRCTTAAATGTAGCATCTGCTACAGATCCAAAAAGGTCAGAGACTAGTGAAATTCCACTAGTTAATATTACTTATTTTGTCTGTCTGATGAGATTGCATCACAAGGAGGAGCTGTTGGGCACTATACATTCCTTGCCTTCCAGGAGAAGAATCTCACAAAGTATCTTAGACAGTTACTTAAGATTGAAAAAAAACTTAATTTGTCTCTCCTTGAAAATGGGCCAAAGTAAAACTTGCTTGTTACAGAACATGCATGACTTGCATCCCACAGGAATCAAACTCAGTTAATTACAAAGTTATAAATGGGATAAAAAGCAACAAGCATTTTGGTAAGGTAAAACCAACTTACTTTTATCTGCATGCAGTCTTTGTGAAGCAAAAGTTACCTTTCAGRTCTTAAAAGATGTTCTAAAGCTTAATCTGATTTATAAACATGTGACAGAACCTATTAGATATGTATATGCTCCTATCAGAAGATTAAAATTAACCTGGAACTCCTGCATTTGTCTAGCCCTTTCTTCYGTACAAAGGAAAAACAAAAGCATAAATTCAGCAAACACCACTATTAGAAACAGCCACCTTGCACATGAGACTGGAAAAAATAAAGGATTTATAACAATGTGCACTTAAAGAACAAGATGCGTCTTCCTACAGTCAGTAAAAAATGGAAGAGCCAAACCCCTGTACCTTTATAAATCCCCACAGTCCTCCAGCAGGTGCCCCACTCTGGGCAGTAGACACTCTGGGATCTTCGTGCTCCTCGGGAAAAGTGATTGCAGAACCAGTCCCAGGAGACAAAGATGATGAGAAAGTCGCCTGTTGAGTAATGGGATCTGCCAAAACACCTGCAAGAGGGAAAAATAAAAAACAAGGGTTCACTTATTTTACTACAGTTAACTTGTTACACTGAAGCAACATGTGATGTTTAACCAGAAAACAGCAGGAAGAATAGAAGAATTCAGGCTAATTCACCTCACTTCTTGAAGGCCCAAGAACAATTCTGCTGCTTAAGGGCTAGCAGAGCTAATGAATGCAAACTGAGACTGCCTGTACATTATGTACAAACAACGATTTATTTTCCTTATCATTCTAATTTTTAAAATTGCTTTTATTGTTATTTTCATAATTAACTCTCAGTAGACAAAACAGAGGGATAAGTGTTAGCCTCTGAACAAAGAGAAGGGAGTATTCTCACACAGTAAGAAAAGTAAGAAATTTTCTGACACCAAGTGCTGGAAATTAATAGTAGAAAAAGGAGGGAGCTTTATGTATTTTAAAGGGAACAAAAGAAACTGAAAAAGTAGAAAAATACAGTGTGACCCTCTGCCCCATTAATCAAGCCTATTTTAACAGATTTTCCAACACTGGCGTTAATTGAGAGTTTTATTTATTTTGCACAGCACAACTGATAGCTATTTTTAGACGTYTTCCTAATACAGATTACTTAAAAAGAGATATCACCAATAATAATAAAATCTTGGCACAAATGCAGCTGAAGAGCCAAGTTTCCATTCCACAAGCTGAAAATGACATAGTTCAGCAGCCACAGCAACTGCCTGGATGGAAGGTATGTATTTTTAGCTATCCCAATGCAATTTCATGGCTGGAAACAAGAAAACAGAAGCTGGTGTCATGTGACAGACAGCTTGTTAGGAATGGATTTTCAGAACACAAACCTGGTAATGATGAGTTTACTGCCTGGAATGAATCATTCTGGGGAAGTACAATGGTTGAAGCTAAAGCTGAATATACCTAAGAAAAACTSGGCTTTTCTGGGCAAGGTAACAAAACTACAAGTTCTCAAAGATTTTCCACTGAACCTGAATGCCACCTGAACTTAAAGTGGACTGTTCTAAACCATGACTACATTTTAAAGGCTATTATCCCTTCTACTGAGCACCATACGTTAATTAACAGTATTATACCTTCTTCTGGGTATAACTAATCAATTACCCAGAAAAATAAGCCACCCAGGAGATCCTGCATCCTGTTCCACAAGTAAGAAAGCAAATTATGTTTAACCACGGAGTTTTTTACCTGTGACTGGAGGTGCAGAAAATGAAGGCATCAGGGGGCTCTGAGGTGCTCGACCAGCGTGACCTCTGGTGATATCATAGGTGGAAGACATGGAAAATCCTGAAATGGGGGGACCAGTGGGAGGTGCAGGAAGACCMGGGCCAGCAGCAGAGCTCAGTGGAGGAGCAGAGAACTGGGACATGGAGGTGCTGAAAGCTGGAGGGGCAGCAGGAGGTGGCACAGGGCTTTGGGGTGGTGCAATTGCAGAAACTGTTGCAGAAGGCACAAGTGGAAGAGAGGCTGAAGTCATCATGGGAGGAGGAACTGGGGATGCTCCAGCTGGCAAGGGTGGTGAGTAGGTAGGAGAAGATGGCATGCTTGATGTGGCAAGGGGGCTGGACAAAGCTACAAAAATAACAGAAAAAAAAAAAAAAAATCTCATGTTTTTTTTCAAAAAGCCTAGAGGCTCT